AATCTGCATATGTGAAACACTCAATGTTAGTGTGTTCATTATTCTTATATACTAGACCCCGTCTTGGAGATCCCTTTAGATAACAAAGAATCTGCTCCAGAGCCGCCCAATGCCTGACTATTGGGGAAGACATAAACTGACTCACAATACTGACAGAGTATGCGATATCAGGACGGGTTACTGTAATATAGTTCAGTTTCCCAACCAATCTCCTATATTTCTCTGGATCTTCGAATAACTCACCGTCTTCTTTCACGAGTTGTGTGTTAGGAACCATTGGCATGCTGCATGGTTTAGATCACAACTTTCCAGTTTCAGCTAACAAGTCAAGAGTATATTTCCTTTGGGACAAGAAGATGCCTTTCTTGCTCCATGTAACTTCAACTCCCAAAAAATACTTTAGTTGCCCTAAATCTTTCGTCTGAAATTGATTGTGAAGGAAAGACTTTAGAGTTGAAATTCCTGTAATATCACTTCCAGTAATAACGATGTCATCAACATATACTACCAATAAAAGAATACCATCATCAGACTTTTTATAAAACATCGTATGATCGCAATTGCTTTTCTTCATCCCATATTCTAGAACAGCCTCACTAAATCTACCAAACCAAGCACGGGGACTCTGTTTCAGCCCATAAAGAGATTTTCGAAGACGACATACCTTTCCACACTCCCCCCTGAGCAACAAACCCAGGTGGTTGCTCCATATATACTTATTCCTGAATATCTCCATGTAGAAAAACATTCTTTATATCAAGCTGATGCAGAGGCCAATCATAAGAAGCTGCCATGGAAATGAATAATCGAACAGAAGCTAACTTGGCGACCGGGGAAAAAGTATCCAAATAGTCGANAAACAAGTACAACCAAATATTTTGGGTTCAATAGGAAATAATGGCTTAGAGGAAAAAAGAATGTTGTAAGGAATATTACCATGAAGTACAGAAGATGACATACGATTTATTAAAAAACAAGCTGTAGAGACGGCATCAGCCCAAAAACATTTTGGCACTTTCATTTGAAAGAGGAGTGCTCGGCCTACTTCAAGAAGATGTCTATTTTTTCGTTCCGCAACCCCATTTTGAGAAGGGGTGTCAACACAAGAAGATTGATGTAGAATACCATTTGTAGCCATATAATCTTTAAACAAATCCGAAAAATATTCTTTTGCATTGTCACTCCTTAAATTACGAACGGAAACATTAAAATGAGTTTTTATTTCAGCACAAAAAGCACAAAAAATTGAAAACAACTCCGAACGATTTTTCATTAAATATAACCAAGTAACACGAGAATGATCATCCACAAAGGTAACAAAATATCTAAAACCAGTTTTAGAGATAATAGGACATGGACCCCAAACATCGGTGTGAACTAACTCAAAAGGTAAGTCGACCCGTTTATTGACTCTAGAAACTTTAGGAAGGCGATGGTGTTTAGCAAACTGACATGACTCACAATCTAAAGAGGAAATACTCTGAAACTGAGGATATAACTTCTTCAAACTAGACAAGGATGGATGACCCAATCGACAGTGTACATCAAAGGGAGACAACACAGTTGAACAAGAAATGGATTTCGGCACCTGTGATTCAAGAACATAGAGACCCCCAGACTCAGAACCTTTACCAATAATCTGCTTCGTCGTAAGATCCTGAAAAAGACAATAATTGGGAAAAAATGAGACACAACAATTTAGAGTACGAGTAAGTTTACTGACAGATATTAGATTGAAAGAAAAATCAGGCAAATTTAAGACGGAACTAAGGGAAAGAGAAGATGTTGGGTTAACAGTGCCAGACCCTAAAACATATGAGGTAGACCCATCGGCTAAAGTAACTGTGGAACATTGGGTATGTGACTGAAAAGTGGAAAAGAGTTTAGAGTTACCTGTCATATGATCTGTGGCACCAGAATCAATGACCCATTTGGATGATGAAGAGAGGAGACACTTAGTGGTTTTACCTGACTCGAGGATAGTATTGATCGGAGGAGATGATGACTAAGATGGTGAAATAGTCTCGGAAGTGGCGATGTTGGCATACTGAGATCTTTTGTTCTTATTCTGAAGCTTCACATAATAACGTATGATATGACCGAGCTCATGACAATAAAAACATTTAACTTCCCCTTGCTTTAGGTCTCGACTATCACTACTCCGATTGCGATTACTATGACTCTTATTCTTTTGGACGCGGCTAAGCAGAGCACCACTATCGATCGTGGCTGTCGGACCTGGATGAGACTTTTCAGTATGCAACACTCTTGTAAAGGCCTCTTTCAAGGAAGAGATAGCAGTCCCAGATAAAATCTGCGATTTGGCCCCTTCAAATTCGGGAGAAAGACTAGAAAAGAAACTCATGACCGCCAGTTGTTCCCGCTGAGCCTGTTGTACCTTCACATCTGGACTAAACGGCAATATAACATTAAGCTCATCATACACCTTCTTAAACTCTGAGAAGTAAGTGGTGAGAGAGCGATCTTGCATGGATGGATGGTAAAATGCCTGGCACACATCATACATGCGAGACAAGTTTCCTTTGCCAGAGTACAAAAAATCTAAATAATCCATTAGATCCTTCACATAATCACAATGAGAAACTAGATCATTTACCTCACTGTGCATCGAATTCTTGATTTGGAGAAACAATTTTGCATCCTCCTTTAACCAGACTGATTTAGTCTCATCCTTGGGTGGATCATCAACCAAGTGGTTCTCTTTGTCGATGCTCCGCAAATAGAGACGGATCGTCTTACTCCAATCCATGTAATTGGAACCCATGAACTTATTCTTCGTAATTTTGGACATAACCGGAATGACATCAATGGTAGGTTTCGTTTCAGTCATCTTGCACCCGAATAATAGCATAATCAAATAGTCAAGAACAGTGCAGTGAAATTTGAACAGTGCAGTGAACAATGAACAGTGATATTTGAACAGTACAATGAATAGTGAACAGTGATATTTGAACAGTACAATGAATAGTGAATAGTAATATTTGAACAGTGAACAATGCAGTGAACAGCGAGCAGTACAGTGAATAGTGCCGGAACAGTGATCTTGGAAAATTTAAGTTGTCAGGAAAAAAAAAATCTGACAGTACCACTTTGGTCGGAATAGTGAGTAGAAAAATCTGTAAAGAAGCGGCCGGGGCAAAAAATGGCCGGAAATAGTGAAATAGAATCAAAACAGCGAAAGACTGTTCTGAACAAAAATAATTCAAATGGGGAAAAAAAATTCCCAACAACAAACTGATGAAAAAACTTCAATGCTCTGATACCATGTTAGAAACCAAAGAAGTTTTATATTTCATATCTAGAAGAGAAGATTACAAGGCCTATTTATAATACTAATTCACCTAATCTATTAGTTGCCATACACCTAATTACACCTACTATACAACTCATATACATGTGCTAGCTATGATGTAGTACATGTGTATACATGTGATAGACAACTTGTATGTCAACAGAGTTTATATCTCAATTTTGAGAGGTTTTGGTGAAGATTAGACTTGATTTTGGCTGAATTTCAGATTGTAACTCGAAGAAGAAGAAGACATGACATACATTATATTGCAGGAATTGTAGTAAAATTGTAGAAAAATTGTATTCTATTGTTTATTTATTTTTCTTGTATTCATTTAACTATTGTATGAAAGTTGAACAATATTGTATAAAAATTATATTTAAGTTGTATGATATTGTAGTTGTATATAACTGAGTAGAAATAATATACGAAAATTGTAGATAAGTTGTATAATATATAATTAGTTGTATGAAATTTATTTAATATGTATAAATCAGATACAAAATATACAAAAGACATATTGTATAAAGCTTGTATTTAAGTTGTATGTTATTGTAGTTGTATTTAACTGGGTAAAAATAATGTGTGAAAGTTAAAGATAAATTGTATAATATATAATTAGTTGTATGAAATTTGTTTTTACTATGTATAAATTAGATACAAAATATACAAAAGACATATTGTATAAAATTTGTATTTAAGTGGTATTATGTTGTAGTTATATATAACGAAGTAGAAATAATATATATAAATTGCAGATAAGTTATAGATAAATTGTATAATATACAATTAGTTGTCTAAAATTTGTTTTTACTATGTATAAATCAGATACTAAATATACAAAAGACATATTGTATAAAATTTGTATAAAAATTATATATTTAAGTTGCAATTGTTGTTGTATTTAAGACCTTCGTCACCGGCCTTTTGAATGGCTAAAAGTAAAGACCTAAAGAGTTTTGGGTTAAATGCAGAACTTTCCTTTTTAGAAGAAAAAGCGCAAAACTGTTCAGCACAGCTTCCCAGAACAACTATTTAGAAGATACTGTTGTGTATCTGTAACTCCCATTCTCATGTATTTTCTTTACATGATTTTGTCCTTCCAAGTGATATGCACTACTGCTAGCTTCAAGAACTGACATGAACTTGACTCGACTTTCTTCACCAATTTGCGTCAAGGGCTAATTATCATCATTTTAAAAATATTCTACAATAAATAAACTTTTCCATTCAATATACTGACGATTTGATTTTAATTGTCCATCTTTTTTTGGCGTCAAGCACGAAGAAAACGTAAGAAAAACTCAGAGGAAGTAATTTACATCGAAAATTCAAAGAGAAGAAAAGATCTTAGATATTAAGGGTATAACAAACAAAATCATGATAGAAGAGGGGAGAGAGGACAAAAAAAGGAAAATGGTGTAACTAAATCTCTTAATTGAAGGCACTAATAATGGACTGAGAGTCTTTTAAGGTGAAATGTATATATTTTGTAAACAAAACTTGTGTAGGTAGGATAATTTACTAAACATAAACATTTAGGATAATAAAGTTTCCAATAGTGTATAGAATTAAAAACATCTCTTTTTAATTTCACATCCAACCTCGTCCAAATCAGTTTTTTCAAAAAATATTTAGAAATCTATGTCCAAACATGTATAAGTTTAAGTTTTTCTTCTAAAAAGATTACATCGTTTGGAACTAGTTAGGACAGTCAATATGAACTTCCTATTTTTCATTTTGCTCCATTCTTAGCTTAGTTTTGGATTGATGTCGAGGAATTTTAATCTTTCAAGATAATCTCTTTTCATGTGATTTTGGATACGTTTCATGCGGGGTAAAAATCTCAAATTTTTTATTTGTTATGAACAATTTATTGTATGTGATTATTTTTAATCCTTTTTAATAGTGTTGTTTGTTAAGTTTTGGACCATTAACACATCCTAACATATAAACATAATCAATTAAATTATTTTTTGAACGTATTAGTTGATAATTGTCATACACTTTTGGTAAAATTCGGTCCTTTTCTTGTTAAATTCCTATAATGTTTAATTATTTTCCTTTTATTCCCTAATAAGGCTTACTCCCCGCAGTTAACTGTTATTCCTTTTGGAAACAAATCGTAAAAATGTCAAGGAAGAAAAAGTACAGCGACGAAGAAGAAGACGACACTTTCTACTACCGCTACTCCTCCGTACCTTTACCGGCGTCGTCGTCCTCCGCCACATCCAAAACCTCTTCCACTTCGCGCGGCAGCGGCAACGGCAGACTAGCTCCATCAAAATCAACAGTGTAAGCGAGTAATCTCGATTATACCCTCACAAACTCCGACCTCCACACAATCTTCTCCACTTTCGGCAAGGTCGCTAAAGTAACCGTCGTTAAAGACCGGGTGACACGTAAGAGCCGCGGAGTAGCATTCATCCTCTTCGTTTCAAGAGAAGACGCAACTAAAGTCGTGAAAGGAATTGACAAAAAGGTCCTTAATGGCCGAACCCTAACGGCGTCAATCGCCTCGGATAACGGCCGTGCAGCGGAGTTTATAAGGAAGAAGATTTATAAGGATAAGAGTAGGTGTTATGAGTGTGGAGAAGAAGGGCATTTATCGTATGAGTGTCATAAGAATGTGTTTGGACCTAGGGAAAGGCCCGAGCCATCAAAGAAAGGGCGGAGAGGTGGTGGTGGGAAGTGGGGTGGTGGGGGTGGGGAGTTGGAGGAGGATGGGGAGGGGGATGATGAAGGGGGAGAGGGTTTTGATGATGAGAATTGGGCTTCAGTAGTGGATAGAGGAGCAGGAGAGAGGTTATTGAAGGGAGATGATAATGAGGAATTTAAGAAGGAGAAAAGGAGGGAGAAAAAGAGGAAGGGTTATTTTAGTGATGAAAGTGATGAAGATGATTGATTAAAGATGGGATCTTTTTGCCCCATAGCTTACCATGCTAAGTAAGTTTGGTATTTAAGTAAGAAGGGTAGAAGGGAGGGCCCATTATCCCGAGTTTCGAAGGGTGCGGTTGGTACTAAGAGTTGGCCCTAGATGGATTTCTCAGTCTTAAAAAAAGGAGCTTTTAGCTTTATTTAGTTGAGGAATGATTTTCTATAGTGTTAATTGAAGGTATTGAAAGTTTTGCATTCACTCCTTTCATTTGGTGTGTTGTGTTACTTTCTTAAACTATAAAATGATGTAAGTGCAGTTAAGGTAATTGTTGAGTATAGTTTGATTTTGTTGGTAAATATCAGTATGATGCTCCGATATCTTTGATTTTTAAACTAGATCGTAGTTGTATGTATGTAGCATTATAGAACTAATTTAGTTATAAGCTGTATCTTGCTGGCAAGATGTTATACTTGGTAAAAGTTCCAGCTTTATAGACAATGTGGTTCTGTTTACTTGTCCCTCTTTACATATGAGTTTGGANAAGAGAGGTTATTGAAGGGAGATGATAATGAGGAATTTAAGAAGGAGAAAAGGAGGGAGAAAAAGAGGAAGGTTTATTTTAATGATGAAAGTGATGATTGATTAAAGATGGGATCTTTTTGCCCCATAGCTTACCATGCTAAGTAAGTTTGGTATTTAAGTCAAGAAGGGTAGAAGGGAGGGCCCATTATCCCGAGTTTCGAAGGGTGCGGTTGGTACTAAGAGT